TATATATACACACACATACATATATATATATATACATACATACATACATACATACATACACACACATACATATATATATATATATATATATGTATATATATATATAAATATATATAAATATATATGGTTGGCGATACTCCACCTGACATTGTTGTTGGCGCACCTAATAATTGTTCACCGCAGATAAGTCCTGATTTTTAAAACTGGCTTGGCGCCGAATCTCCAATTCCATTGCTTCGGCCAATTCGAGTTCGTCTCTGTATTTGTACATCGATAGATACGTTGAGTTGAAAAAGTTCGGCACTTTTATTGTAGTGTACAAAGGGTATACTTAAGAATAGCAGTGTGGCAATAAGTATGAGATTCAATCCCACTTGCCTGTAACAGTAATCCAACATGATAGTGTATTGACGTAGATAAGAGCATTAATCCCGTGAAACAATGGCGCATGGCACGGAGGGTTAAAAAAACCCACACGGGCGAGTCGATCTGGTCAGCAGTATAATTAGATAGGCCCAACAAGATCCTTGCGTAAAATGGGCGTATCCGGTCGGCTAGAGTGCTTTCAAGCAACAAGTACACTACAACAAAATAAGTCATTTGCAGTTTAGCCGAAGATGGCTGAGCTGGCAGTACTAGATGATCATGCACATGTAGACTAACCCCCCCCCAACCAGGCCCAATAATAAGCAGTTACCAACTCGTAACGAAATCATATATCTGCCACGCTGTGTTGATTTACATACCCCGATATACCCTCATCGTTGTCACTCATTATGTAGTCACGGCTGTGGCGGTAGCGACAGTCATGGTCATACACGTTGATCAAAAGACACAAAAAACAACTAGTCGCCTCCACGAGCATTTGACAACACAACTTGCGAATAAAAATGCCTATATGTACATATGTACATATCTACATACCCCGATATACTATCCTCGTCATCGCTCATTGTGTGGTCACGGCTGTGTGGCGGTGGAGACAGTCCTAAATGGTCATCCGCGCCATCGTGGCCCCCGAGTACAGCTGCGGTGAGGCGAGAGAAGACGGGCTTCATGTATTTGCGGTCGAATCTGTGCCAGAAAAAGGCCAGTTTGCTGTCGTTGGGCCGGTACAGCGAAGTGCCTTGGCTCATATCACCCTGTGGTCAAGAAATGAGTATTACTATGTACGGTTGCAGCACTTGCGATGGTGAAACACGAAACTACCAAGGCGTGTGCATCTTTGTACCCTGGCACAATCACTCTGTGGTGGGGGAATGAGTATTATATCGAAGGGTTGTAGAGCAATACACCGAAGATTTTAAGCACTTGTAATTGAAAAGTACGAGGCTATCGGTATCTGCATGTCTTTGTACGATGTGGTCTTGTGGTCCGGGATGGGCTCGTGATGACTTGCTTCTTTTACTGCTACAAGCCAAATTACAGAACTATCGCTGTGCCTAATTCACGGGTATGAACATCAAGGTGTAGTAGGACCTTGCCCACGACACGTCCACAGTATATAAGAAACGATTTGTCCACACACACACACACACACACACACACACACACACACACCAATATAATAATATA